AGATTAACTAACTGCCTTCCATAGGATCTTCAATTCGGTTAACGAAAAAAATTCGTTAACGAAGTTCTTACGAACCGACCTCAACATGTTTTGCTTGCACTGACCGGGCAAGCAGCTTAGTATCAGTCATCACATTAATCAGTTCTAGGGCTTAAATTCTTACTAATTTAGTAAATATCAAAGTTTATACTATTCAATAATTTTAAAAGTTTAATATTCAATTTTTTGTCATTTAACAATTATTGAACATAATGAAAGGTAAAGTGACTAGTTTAATCAGCGACATCCAGCCTCTTAACACAGCAAACAGGAGTTAGTCTCTCTCTGTTTTCACTGAGGTAACATCTTGCTTGAGACTCTCTTCAACTAAACGCTTCTGTGTTTCCAAGCAAATTATTGGTCATTTTGATATTTTTACATGACATATATAATGCAGTGCAGTGTTGATTTAAAATAATCTTGAATTACTCAAGAGAGCTAAAATTTTATGGGTGAAATGGCGCCATGGGGTGACTCTCTTCCACCCCAATGCCTTCTCTTCTCTTCTCCTCCACCCCCATTCTAAATCCCATCATCATCATCATCCAGGAGCCTTCTACATACACACTCAAAGTAAGTGAACTTTTCTACCATTTTGTTGAATTTAGGAAATTTCAGGTGAGCTGAACCAATTACCCAAAAACCCATTGAAACAATGGTTTCCGTTAACAACGACCCTCCTGGAGACAGATTGAGTTAGTTAGCGATGGTCACTTAAATATGTATATATGTATGTAAAATATATATATATATATATATATATATATATATATATATATATATATATATATATATATATATATATATAATATATATATATATATATATATATATATATATATATATATATATATATATATATATATATATATATATATATATATATATATATATATATATATATATATATATATATATATATATATATATATATATATATGTTTCCTTTACCCCTGAGTGTAAGGACCACCCGAGTCTCCCACATAGCGCAGTGGGAGACTCGGTAATCCTTACACTCAGGGTAAAGCACACTGATGTCAAGTCGTAAGTTCTATTTCTGGTACAAACAACAAAAGGTTAAGACAGGGGTAAACAGCGTCCTGTCTTGGAATCCATCCAACCGTGCAGGTCAGTCCCAACCCTCCCCCACCCCACACCAATCCTCCCTTCAGGTTTAACATTTAGTATTAAATAATACCTCAGATTAAAGTTAGGATAATATAATTGACATTGCTGGATTCCTTGTAAGACCAGGAATATTTTGAATATAAATGTCATATTTTGCACAAAAGATAACATATTTACTCAAGAGTAAACATTACATCTAAAATTTGTATGTCTATTGCAAAATCTATGATGTTTATACAGTATTACCCCCTAGCAGCGGTTTCATAACGCGTTTTATCATATCTGCGATTGCCTCGCCAGAACTGAACTTTCATAACGCGGATTTTTTCCACATATAGCGGTGAGTGTCGGCTCGAGCGCTATTTTTAAGATTTGCCCACCCACCCATCACCCTGCCTGACTGCCTGTTTCAGCTCATAAATTCATACAAATTACCGGCCCAGAATATAATTTACATTGCTGGAGTTCTTAAATTTTAGTGATCATTTTGAATATAAACATCATATATTTTGCATTAGACATACAAATTTTAGATAACATTTTTTCTCTGGGTAATTTATATCATTTTATCTATATGACATTTATATTCAAAATATTCCAATCTTACAAGGATTCAGCAATAATTCATATTATACAACTTTAGTTTGAGGTATTATTTATTAAAATTTAGTGGTTATCCCCACATCTCCTTGGGACCCGGTTGGTGGGGGTGGGAGGAGAGGACCGACCGACCATCTGTTACCCGTGAAGAATTATTATTTTTTATTAACTGAAGATATTTGTTTTAGCTCATAAAATTCATACAAATTACCGGTCTGAATATAATTTACATTGCTGGAATTCTTATAATTTGATGATCATATTTGAATAAACATCATATATTTTGCATTAGACATACAAATTTTTAGATAACAATTTTTCTCAAATTAACTATGTTATCTTTTGTGAAAATATATGACATTTATATTCAAAATATTCTAGTCTTACAAGGAATCAGCAATGTCAATTATATTATCCTAACTTTAATCTGAAGTATTATTTAATACTAAATGTTAAAACCCTGGAAGGGAGGATTGGTGGGGGGTGGGGGAGGTTAGGGACATGTGGTTGGAAAGGGGGGAAGGATGGTTTTGGGGTTAACTTTGGACATCTTAAATTCATACAAATTACCCGGTCAGAATATAATTTACATTGCTGGAATTCTTATTATTTGGTGATCATTTTGAATATAAACATCATATATTTTGCATTAAACATACAAATTTTAGATAACAATTTTTCTCTAGGTAACTATGTTATCTTTTGTGCAAAATGACATTTATATTCAAAATATTCCTGGTCTTACAAGGAATCCAGCAATGTCAATTGTATTATCCTAACTTTAGTTTGAGGTATTACTTATTAAAATTTAGTGGTTTTCCCCCAAAAATTTCTCTGAGAGGGAAGAGCTGGCAGTGTAGTGTGAGAGGGGGAGGGAGTTGAGTCCATTATTTGAATGGACATTAACTTGGCGACTGTATTTCTCTATTTCTCTTAAGTATTAATTGTGTGCATGTACCATCATAAAAATTAAGATGTTATTTTTACTACAACATAGGTATGTGCCTTCAAAAAGTGGAGTTTGGGGGTCGGGCGGTTTCTATTGGAATTAATCCCATATGTTCTGTTGTTCACTTAACGTGATTTCACTTAACGCTGGACCCTCTGGGTTCAATTGACCGTTAAGTGGGGTACAACTGTACTCAAAATGATCATCAAATTATAAGAATTCCAGCAATGTAAATTATATTCTGACCGGGTAATTTGTATGAATTTTATGAGCTAAAACAAATATCTTCAGTTAATAAAAAAAAAAAATATTCTTCACACAGTAACAGATGGTCGGTCGGTCCCTCCCTCCCCCCACCCCCCACCAACCGTCCCTAGGAGATGTGTGGGAAAACCAGAATATTTACCTTTTTAGTAATAAATAATACCTCAAACTAAAGTTAGGATAATATAATTGACATTGCTGGATTCCTTGTAAGCCCAGGAATATTTTGAATACAAATGTCATATATTTTGCACAAAAAATAACATATTTACTCAGAATAAACTTTATATCTAAAATTTGTATGTCTAATGCAAAATCTATGATGTTTATATTCAAAATGATCATCATATTGTAAGAATTCCAGCAATGTAAATTATATTCTGGCTGGGTAATTTGTATGAATTTTATGAGCTAAAACAGGCAGTCAGGCAGGGTGGCGGGTGGGGCGAATCTAAAAATAGCTCTCGAGCCGGACACTCACCGCGTATATGTGGAAAAAACCGCGTTAAGTGAAAGTTCAGCTCTGGCAAGGCACCGCGTATATGGTAAAACGCGCTAAGTGAAACCGCGTTAGGCGGGGTAATATATATATATATATATATATATATATATATATATATATATATATATATATATATATATATATATATATATATATATATATATATATATATATATATATATATATATACAGCCACTCCTCGACTTACGACGGGGATAGGGACCCAAATCCAGGTCGTACGCTGAATTGGTCGTAAGTTGAAAATGTGAAGATAATACTGTAAAGTATATAGAAAATCTGAAATGGGTGTCTCTTTTTCTTCTCAGCACCACAAAACTCTCACTTTTAAGCATGCCAGCTATTTGAAAGGGAATTACAAACGAAAATTTTGTCAGTACACAGCGCAATCACTAACGTTGGGACTCGAAAATACGTAATTTGAAAAAATTTTGGTACGACTGGGGCGGTCGTATGTCCGGGTGGTCGTAAGTCGAGTAGGTCGTAAGTCGAGGAGTAGCTGTATATATAGGCCTACTGTATATATATAATACACACACACACAGGGTGTCCCCGGGTTATGAATGAGTTCCGTTCCTGAGGACCACATTTTGAAGAAATTTATTGCATTTTCTTGCTCCAAAATTCTTGCTTCAATTAATTGTTTATAAAACCACTTATTTCACCCTTGCTTTACTCTCATGTACTGTTCAGTAATATTGTACAGGTACATGGAAAATTAAATACATAAAGGAAAATGATTCTATATTCTTAAGCTTCATATTTATAATGTTCAATCCTTTGTTTTAAAGATTATTTCATAAAGCAGAATTTTGGTTGACAGATACTTTAATGTGCAACAAAAAACTTCAATAAATTCAAATAATGTTTTAATAGCTATAAGTACAGAAATATAAGTCATTTTACCGAGTACGAATCTTCTTTGCAGCAACTCTGTCTTTGTCAACCAGTGCAGTTTCTGGATACTGTGATGACAGTTTCTGTATTCTGTAATCTACAACATTGGTTGAGGCTCTCAGAGCCTGGTAGCTTGTGTACTGCTTCTGTCGTTGAGATGGTGTACCCATTCCAATTCCCTCGTAGTTCAGATACTGCCGGTGCTGTGGAGCTGTGTGCTGTAAGATGAATAAATCGTAAGTATACAGTACCGTACAGAACTTATTGGAACTTAATAAATGATGCAGACGACTCAAACTACTACAGTATACACAGTCCTGGAAAATCCACATGACATTACTTATACAGTACAGTACAAGGTATTGCCAGGAAGAATGGCAAAACAGCCAATTTTCTGAAAATCCTTTTTCTGTGGTCTCCTGTAGCCATACCCATGCTCTACCACATGGGACACTCAAACACAGGAATTGCGCCGATCAAGGCTTTTGTTGGGGTGTTTCATAACACATCAACTTTACTCTTGTGCGGAGAGAAATGTGAGAATGTGAACCCATGAGTGTGCGGCTAGCTCCATGAGAGGCCTCTCTGCCAATGGGTGATGCACTCACACCCTCAGTTCCCACTTCTCCCTCGTATTATGTTGTAGTGGAGTTTATGTCTGGATTTACCCCATTTTACTACATCCATTTTAAATCACACACAACATGGGTTAATATTTGTTATACTTTTTTATGTGTTTTATTGTTATTATTAATTATATTTTTCTCACAAAATGTTTTATAATTTTTTATTAGTACAGGTAATTATTACCATTAGCAATCAGGCATACAGTATTATGGAATGTTATACATTTTTTCCTCATACTGTATAATATGGACACGAAGTAGTACCTTAAGCTGTGTATTCTTATATTACTCTATTAATTATGTATAGTAAAGTATTACAGAACATGTATTAATCCTATGTAATATTTCCATTTATTATGCACCATGTTATGTATGTGAATTATCATATTTACATATTATGTATTCAGCTTGTGAATGCTGGCATCTGTACATGCCAGCGCGGAGTGATATAGAGAATGGAGATCGCTAGTCCTTATGGTGTGGAAGCCCACTGTCTATTAGTTCCTCTGTATATCTCCCGTACGAGAATAAGAACCTATTTTCAAGATAAGTGTTTGCGTATACCCTCAGTAGTGTAGAACATTTTGGGGGTATCAAAGACAAACATAGATGGCGCAGTGAGATTTCTCAGTGAGATTCAGAGTGAACTTAGCCTTCCCGCCGGACTGTGTTAATGGCGTCTCGTCTTCAGCTTCGCCAAGGATTTACAGCCAGACTACAAGCCTCAGGACTTACAGTGTTGTGAAGTGCTATGCTGTGTACAGTGCTGTGCTGTGAAGTGAAGTGTTCTGTGAAGTGCTGTGTTGTGTATTTTAATCAGAATTGTCTGTGCAAACTGCAGTCAGATGACTGACAGAGCTGCCCAGCAGTACAACCCCACCCGCCTACGGTCATTGGGTGACTGAGCAGCGAGCAGTGAGCGGTTCAGTTGCACTTGCGCCCAGCTGCCTCTACGTCTGGCAGCGCGCCAAGCCTTCCGGCAATGAGCCATACACACACACACACGCACTCACAGGCCCACTTTATATTAAATTCTTGTGTATTACATTAGACTTCTGTAATTCTGTGCATAGATTACGAGGGGTTGACCCGGTCTCTTGCACAGATAGAGTACAGAAGCTGTCGGCATGTCTCACAGGGATCAAAATGATACCCTGGACGATGGGGTTATGAGTTTAAGCTTGGGAGACCTCTCCCCACTCACACTCAGGCCCCACGCTCCCCACAGTGACAACGCCCAATCACCCACAGAATCTCCTCATTCGTCGCGAGCAAGCTCTCCTGCGGTGCCTGCGTCCAAAGATCTCCTTCAACTGATTAAGTGGATGGAAACTTCTCGACGCCAGGACTATGTTGCAAGGAGAGAAGAGGAAGAAATTCGGTACCGAGAGTCTGAAAGACGACGCCACGAAGATGAACAAAGACTCAGAGAACTAGAAGATATACGTAGAAGTGAGGATGACCTGAGAAGAAGAGAGGATCAAGCCAGATTTGAAGTCTTGATTTCTCTGTTAGCCTCCCCACCATCTACTGTACAAGATTCTTCTGCTACTACTAATGCTGATACAATTCCTCAAAAGGCTGCAGCACAAACGCCTCCCTCTCTGAAGTCTGACGCTTCATATCAGATATTTCGGGAATGGCGTCGACGTTGACAAGACTATGCAACAATGGTTGACCTGTCAAGTTTACCACAGCCTAAACAGATGATGCAGCTTCGTATGTGCCTGTCCTTAGAGACACAACGTACTCTCGAGCACACACTTCAGGTGCCTCCTACGACAACTCTGACGGTAGAGGCCGTGCTCGACAAGTTACAGGAACACGTTAAGGGTCAGCGCAACGAAGCACTCAGAAGGAGAGAACTCCTCCAATGTAAGCAGCTTGATGGAGAATCTTTTGATGCATTTTTCGTAAGACTGAAAAGATGTTCAGAGGAAGTTGATGTTTGTCCTGGAAATTCTCAAGTCTGTGAAGAGACACAACTCAAGACAGTTATTTTAACGGGTATTCGAGATGAAGAGCTAGATCAGCGTCTCATTTCACTTGACCCCACTTCCTCCCTTCAAGATGTTGTTACAATATGTCGAGCATACAAGGCCGCCAGGTGTGCGACTTCAGCTTTACGCTCACCTGACCAGGTGAGGGCAGTGTCTTCCTACAGAAAGGGTAAGAAGCAGCAAGGTAACTCCACCCCTCACCCTCCAGCTGCACCTTCAGCAACAGCTTTGTGAAACAGCTGCGCGAGACAGCATAATGCCTCCCAGTGCCCAGCTGCTCAAAGCGTGTGCAGAAGTTGCGACCGCCAGGGTCACTGGGCCTACACAGTCAAGTGCCCTGCTAGCAAAGTTCAGTGCAGACTTTGTGGTCGTGTGGGCCATTATGACAAATGTTGTCGCAAGAAGACACAGAAAGAACACCACCAAGGATCCAAGAAGTCATCCTCAGGTAGTGCTGTCGCGCACCCTCCTTCTGGCAAGCATCAAGACGCTGTGCCCAGTCGTTCCTGCCGTCGTGTACATTGTTCCACAGACACGACGCTCCAGCACATCAGTGTCGTCATTTCTCATGGTAACTTGTCATCCAGTCTTCAGATGTTACCTGACACCGGTGCTGACGTCTCAGTAATTGGTCCACAACACTTAGCAAGTTTGGGAATACCCTGGAGCAACCTACAGCCCCCTCCTCAGACAACGAAACTGACAGCTGATGGTTCCAAGATGGCTCTACCTTTGGTAAGCAGTCTTGCTCAGCCCGGATTGATGTTCATGATGGGATCCCGACTCCGCTTTTATCATATGGCCATTGTCAAGAGTTGGCCATTATTCCCAAGGAATTCCCTATCTCTAATAACACGTCCCCTCCTGATGCAAGAGATTACCTTCTCAAGGAGTTTGCTGACGTGTTGGTTACGAAGAAATCTTTGGGATCCACACCACTCAAACCGATGGTGGGTCCACCTATGAAGATTCATCTTAAGGATGGTGCCACACCTTTTGCCATCCACACCCCTCGTTTCATTCCTCACACCTACAAGGAGCTAGTTAGACAAGAGCTTGACTCCATGGTTGCTCAGGGAATCATCAAGCCGGCCAGAGACGAACCTTCACCTTGGTGCCACCCTCTCATCCCCGTCGCCAAACCTCGTGGTGGAGTACGGATCACCACCGATCTGTCAAAACTTAACCAGCAAGTTTCCCGTCCAGCCCACCCTTCACCCACACCCTTCGCAGCTGTTCGAAATGTGGACCCGAAGGCGAAGTTTTTTACAACGATGGACGCCTTGTGTGTTTATTGGCAGATCGAGTTGGCCGAAGAAGACCAGCATTTGACTACATTCATCACACCATATGGAAGATATCAGTATTGCAGAGGCCCCATGGGATTTGCTGCTACGGGCGATGCATTCTGTCAATGTGGTGACGCGGCCCTTCAAGGATTCACGAATTGTGTCAAGGTGGTTGATGATATTTTACTCCATGACGAAGACTACTGTGCCCACCTCTCCCGAATATATGAAGTTCTCACCAGATGTCGAAAGTATGGGATTACCCTCAACGCTGACAAGTTTGTAGTCGCCGCACCATCAGTGAACTTCTGTGGGTACATTCTCTCAGCATCAGGTATCGCAGCTGACCCGGAGAAATTAAGTGGAATCAGGGATTTTCCAACCCCTGCCAACCTGACAGACCTCCGTTCTTTTTTGGGTCTGGTCAATCAGCTGGCTGAATTTTCACCTGACATCTCCGCCGCAGCCCAGCCGTTACGCCCCCTGCTGAGCCCCAGGAGGACATTCCTGTGGACCCCAGATCATCAAGAGGCCTTCCAGCGAGTCAAGCAGGCCCTCTTAAGTCCACCTGTCCTCGCCTGTTACGACCCAGCCCTACCCACTGTCCTTCAGACGGACGCCTCCAGACTCTACGGCGTTGGTTACGCCCTTCTGCAGGACCATGGCGGTGGACAACTCCGCTTAATTCAGTGTGGATCCCGGTTCCTGACGGACGCCAAGACCCGATATGCCACGATTGAGCTGGAGATGTTGGCTGTTGCCTGGGCGATGGCGAAGTGCCGCTTCTACCTGATAGGGCTTCAGCACTTCACCCTCTTCACGGATCATTGCCCTCTTGTACCTATTATCAATGACTACTCTTTGGATGCAGTAGAGAATCCTCGCCTTCAACGTTTGAAAGAGAAGCTCTAGCCTTATCTCTTCACGGCTGTGTGGCGTGCGGGTAAGCTGCTGTGCATCCCGGATGCCCTGTCCCGCTCCCCTGTCAGTCGCCCCACCCCAGAGGACGAGATGTTGTGTTCTACAGCTGCTGCATCCCTCAAGTCAGTAGTCTCATTGAAGGCCGTCTTCACATCAGAAGCGTCTACAGCACCGGATGCAGACAAGACCCTTGAAGATCTCCGCACCGCAGCCCGGGCCGACCCTTCCTACATCCGGCTCGTCGACTGTGTGTCCCAGGGATTTACATCTAACCGATACAACCTTCATGAATCGCTACTCCCATACTGGAAGATACGCGAGGACCTCTATTGTGACGGAGACCTCGTCTTGTATGGTCTACGAGTAGTCATTCCTGCTGCCCTACGCCGCCATACCTTGACCCGCCTTCACGACAGCCATCGAGGAGTGGAGGCCACCAAGCGATGGGCGAAGCAGACTGTATTTTGGCCCGGAATCGACGCGGACATTGCAAGTACCGTCTCTGCCTGTGAGCCGTGCCAGATTCTGCAACCCAGCCAGCAACAGGAACCTTTAATGTGCGATGATAACCCTTCAAGACCCTTCGAGTCTGTGTCGGCCGACTTCTTTGCAGTGGCAGGGAAGTCCTTCCTCGTCATTGCCGACCGATTGTCTGGATGACCTGTTGTTGTCCCCTGTGGTAGTGATACAACGGCTACTGCTACCATCTGGAATTTCAGGCATTACTTCAGAGAAGTTGGTGTTCCCCTCCGTCTCAGGACTGATGGAGGACCCCAGTTCACCAGCCACGAGTTACGGGACTTCATGGACCGTTGGGGAGTCCGTCATGTCGTGACCTCGCCCCACTACCCCCAGGCAAATGGACACGCTAAAGCCGCAGTCAAGACTGTTAAACACCTGATCCTTAAGGTGTCACCCTCAGGAAATATCGACTGCGAGGATTTCGATCGAGGTTTGTTAGAGTTACGCAACACCCCGAACTTCACCGGACGCTCCCCGGCCCAGGTTCTATATGGACATCATGTCAGGTCTTGTGTTCCTGCCCACCCGAAGTCTTTTTCTCAAGAATGGCAAGCCAAGACTGAAGAATGTGACCGCCGTGCAGCAGAACGAGCCGCAGATGTCGCTGCTCGGTACGACTGTCATGCCCGCCCCCCTTCCCAGGTTGAGTATCGGCCAGCAAGTCAGGATTCAAGATCCGGTATCTCACTGCTGGGACAAGGTTGGGGTTGTCATGGGTATTGGCTGGTCCAGGGACTACCAAGTGCGTCTTCCTAGTGGTAAAGTATGGTGGAGGAACCGTCGTTTCCTCCGACCTGTGGAGCTGCCTAGTGTTGACTCTTCCCCAGTTGAGTCCCCTAATGTTGATGTCTTTAAAGCAAATCCATCCCCACCTTGTGTTTCTGCCCCGGTACTCTGCAGGTCCGAGCGACTCAGAAACAAAAGGTCCGCTCAAGATGAAACTATGAGCGTATAGGGGGGAGGGAGGTGTATAATATGGACACGAAATAGTACCTTAAGCAGTGTATTCTTATATTACTCTATTAATTATGTATAGTAAAGTATTACAGAACAAGTATTAATTCTATGTAATATTTCCATTTATTATGCACCATGTTATGTATGTGAATTATCATATTTACATATTATGTATTCAGCTTGTGAATGCTGGCATCTGTACATGCCGGCGCGGAGTGATATAGAGAGTGGAGATCGCTAGTCCTTATGGTGTGGAAGCCCACTGTCTATTAGTTCCCCTGTATATCTCCCGTACGAGAATAAAAACCTATTTTCAAGATAACAAGTGTTTGCGTATACCCTCAGTAGTGTAGAACATTTTGGGGGTATCAAAGACAAACATAGACATACATATTCATAAAATATTACCCCAAAATTACAAAATACAACATAAATCTGAAAATTTATAAAGATTTTGTTTGCGAGTTGCTTTTGTTCGTGAGTTGCAGACCAGGAAAGGAAGAAACTTCAAATGCTTTTTTCTCAAATCTTTGGTTCCACCAAGTCACCTTTTTCCTGGCAACACCTCATATTACACTAATGAGATAGACTTAAACCTCTCAGCCTCGCATGAATGGCGTCGAACATAAAAGTCGAAAAAACTTACGCTCAGCCCTGCGACGCCAATGGGCTATATTTTCAAATAACTCAAAAACTCTTCAGTGAAACTGACTGAACTTTGGATACCATTTGACAGACGTCATTTTCTTTGTGTGGGTCTTATCACCTTCCCTTAGATGGTCTTGGTCATCGTGTGAGTGGCAGCGCAGCATGAAGCCAGTGTCGCTTTGGCCATTAGAGTGAGAGGAGGGTGTGCTGCTCGGCCCTTTAATTATTCCATGAGTTTTTGTTATATCATTTTTCCTTATTACCACGATATTCTACATGCTTTGTTCTTTATCTTGGTATAAAGTACATATCTTTAAACACCATAATACAAAGAAAATGTGAATGGAAATTGAGATGTTACTAAACATTTTTCTACTTTTTCAAATTTTACTCGAAAAAAAGTGGCTTAAATTTCAAGAATTTTAAATTTTTTCTGGTTTCATACAATTTTTCAAACACTTTTATGCCATACTAGACCCTATTACAATTAACAAAACAATTCCATGGCAAAGAAATGAGCCCTAAATAAAAAAAATAAAAAATTCAAAGATTTTTTGGCAAAAACCTCCGAGGCGGAGTGTAAGTTTTCGTGCACGTATGTGTCTTAGGCTCTGAGGCTGAGAGAGTTAAGAGACCATGCATCATGGAGAGGTGGAATCAGGTAATTACAGTTAACCCACACAGGTGTGGAAGATGTCCATAAAACAATGATGTCCTGCTGCTACTGTGTAAATGTACAATACTGTACGAGTATTCTGCTTCCTCTCTACTCCACCCACGCCCAGCCATCTACAACACCTCAAGAGCCCCAACTACAAAGCAGAGTCCACACACACATACATACACTGGTCATACTAGCTTCACACATCCAACCTGGCCAGTCACATATTTGTGTCATTTTCTCACACAAATTGAAAGTGTGGTAGAAAGGGTTGTCACATAATAGTGGAATCAAATTAAACAAAGTCACATAAAGCAATGGCCGCCTGTACTGAAATTAACAAAGTTAACACTGATAGTTATGGTGTACCTGTACAGGTGCATTTCATTTCTCAGAATTTACTCTATCCAATAATCAGTCATGCAAGACCACCACAAAAAATAGTAGCACACATTACAATAATATGTAACTACAGGTATCTCTTGCTATACAAATGTTCAAGATACTAAAATTTGTTCAAAAGAATTTCCTAAATTACCAACTCTTTTTTCATGTTACAAAAGCTTTCTCCACTTATACGAAACTGGGTCCCAGCAAAAATTCCAATCACACACCCTCAAGAGTCAACTGGGGCGACCACAACCCCCTTGCGCTCTCCCTACCAGGCTGAGATAGAAGTTATGTTATGGTTACTTTTCAACTCATAATTTTGGGTAGATAAACTTAACTATCTAACTTGTTTTTTACTGAGTTACATGCACACACAATCCTACATACATAAAGTGCAAAAGAAAAGTAAAAGAAATAACTATCACAAGGTTAAAAACATGAAGGGAATAAACATTTCTTTGAGAGAGGGAGGGGGAGCGTCCCAAACCAAGCTGGGTTGTTACGGCGAGGCCTGAGATTGGCCAATTGTGACGCAGCCAGCACCTGTGCAAATGGCAGATGTGTTAAGCTTTGATTATGCCTTTCCTTAACCCTTATGGCGCTGCAAGATATTACTATACAATGAAATGACACGCTAGTGCCGGCCAAAAAATAAAAAATAAATAAATAAAAATCTTGCAGAAATTGGCTGAGAATGGTCAAAAACCTTTATAAAACATAAAAATTCTACTTGGTGAGCTCTGGCAATCCAAATTTAAATTTATGTACAGCTGCTTGCATTTTGTGAGATGTGGCAAGTCTGTGTTTCTTTAATGTTGCATTAAACTCCCAAAATGGCTATAAGAAACATCACAATAGTAGCCAGATAAAAGATGCTTGATAAGCATTTCACAGAGTTGCCACATCTCATAAAAATCACCAGCCACTGTACCAGGTACAGCATAAGTGCGGGCAGCTGTACTGTACATAGATTTAAATCACCATCATTACATCTTTAAACTTTTTTTATAAACTGTGACTAATGCCAATGACAACAATGAGCAGTATAATCCTTATGGGCATCTCACCTTAACAGACACTACAAGAACTGCATTAAAGAAAACTAATGTCGACATCACTCGTGAATTACACTGATTCTTACATTAATGTCAAATATTTTTTCTGCATTTTCATCTTCTTCTTCTTCTTTTGTTTCCATCCTCCTCCTCTTATCATAATAAAGTCCATATTCTCCTTCACAGTTATTGTGATTTCTTCGGTCATCACTAAATTTCTCCAGCAGTTTACGGTAAGCTCGCTCTATCTGCAAAAATAAGTAAAAAAATATTGATTTATACAAATTGGGCAATGCAAACTACTTCTACCAGTAATATTATATCTAACTATACACAGTTGGTTAACTTATAATCATTATACGTTGAACATTACAGTACAATCTGTAAACTCCCTCTAACCTGGACTTGCTTAATCCAGATCCCCTTGCAAACCGGACAAAGGTCCAACACCAGACACATGTATCCCCAACCCAGAAGAATAGTACAGTTCTGTACAACCAAAATCCAGTTAAAATGAGGGAAAGTTCATGAAACCAGGGGCTGCCACTGTGGTGGCACAGGAGGGTAATCCAATAGCTGCCTAAGAAATATGAATAGTGTACAGTTCACAACTTTATACAGGTAGTCCCCGACTTACGACTGCCTCAACTTACGTCCATCGGTACTTACGACCTGCTCTGACCTTACGACCGTCAGGACATACGACCGCCGCAGTCGTGACCAATTCTATTTTATTTTTTTCAAATGACGCGCGCATTTTCTATACCGAAACGTTTCCAGTTAATGTAGTCTCCATGTATAATTAGAAAATTATGGGGGGCCCCATGTGCATTCAGCTGACTGCATTAAAGGTAAGTGCTCAGTCACACTGTATCCATTCCTCATTATTTATAACTTTTAGGGTACTGTATTTCATTGTAGATTTTTTTTTTAATTTTAATTTTTTTTAATTTTTTTTTTATTTATGTCGGACTTATGACCATTCGGACTTACGACCTGGATTTGGGTCCCTAACCCCGTCGTAAGTCGGGGAGCACCTGTACAGTAACAGTGGGGTCTTATTTTATGCAGGTCTCGCGTGTGCGGTTATCGCTTACGCAATTGACTGAAATGTGACCATAGTTGTAGCTTATGCGAAAAGCCATGGGTAGTGTGGGTAGCGGTATGGAAATAATTTAGTGATCTTTTGCTTATTTAGGTTAATTTGATAAAAAGAAGGCTCTGGAGCACTCGAATTACCAAAAAAACTGGTGCTTAAGAGATGGTGAATGATGGCAACATTGTTATGGAGAGCTTAAGTCGGAAATCCCCCATCCTCTTTAATTTTCCACCTTGCAATACAGTCATGCGCCGGTTAACGTCCGACCGAACAACGTCCGATCGCATATACGTCCGTGCCCCCCCCCCCACAAAAAAAAATCCATGACGCCTGCCGGACCACCACTCCACGACCCCCTGACGGAGACATGATGATCCTCCCCATACGGGTCAAATATTATGTGTTAAAGGAATATGCTTCCTTCCTTAGGCTCTTTTTAAACATTTGCCTCCAGGTGTAATGTTAACCTACATCTATTGAGGATAAAATCTTTCACCTACAAATTGACAATAACACATTTGATGTAATCAGACATATCTAGTTGCCTCAACAATTGCAACCCCAGTTGCAATTGGGGTTGTAATTTCAAATTCTGTGGCATTACTAAGGAATAACGAAGTCTCTGATGCACTCTAAGATTAAGAGAGAAAACGAAGGACTCAGGCGTCCTGATGTGAGAGAAAACGGACTCGTATGATGGGGGACCAAATAAAAAAAGCACAGCTACATGTTTTGTGGACTACAGTATTAAGCGTACCGTTTTCATCACTTTGTAATAAACCTAGCCATGCCTGTGTGTGTTTATGATATTTACCATAACATTATATGTACAGTGAACCCTCACTTTACGCGGTCAATAGAACCCAAGGAGGCCCGCGTAAGCGAGAAACGCGTAAAGAGAACAACATAACATATGGGATTAAATGAAATAGAGACCAGATGACCCCCAAACTCCACTTTTTCCGACACAATACCTATGTTCTAGTAAAAACAACATCTTAATTTTATGATGGTACATGCACACAATTAATATTTAAGAGAAATAGAGAAATACAGTCGCCAAGTTAATGTCCATTCAAATAATGGACTCAACTCCCTCCCCCTCTTCTCACACTCGCTGGCTCCTCCCTCTCTGAGAAATGTTTGGGGGAAAACCACTAGATTTTAAGGTATAGTAATAAATAATACCTCAAACTAAAGTTAGGATAATATAATTGACATTGCTGGATTCCTTGTAAGACCAGGAATATTTTGAATATAAATGTCATATATTTTGCACAAAAAAGTAACATATTTACTCAGAGTAAACAAAATACTTACATTAGATCTAAAATTTGCATGTCTAATGCAAAATCTATGATGTTTATATACAAAATGATCATCAAATTGTAAGAATTCCAGCAATGTAAATTATATTCTGGCCGGGAAATTTGTATGAATTTTATGAGCTAAAACAAATATCTTCAGTTAATAAAAAAAAAAATATTCTTCACGACACTATCTGTCAATCAAAACACCCCACCTTGCCTCCCCACCTCTTCCCACCACGCCAGCTGGGACGGTCGGTCCCTCCATCTCCCCCCACCCCCCACCTTCCCTCCCTACCAGAGAAATGTTTGGGAGAAACCAGAATATTTACCTATTTAGTAATAAATAATACCTCAGACTAAAGTTAGGATAATATAGTTCACATTGCTGGATTCCTTGCAAGACCAGAAATATTTTGAATATATACATCATATATTTTGCACAAAAGATAACATATTTGCTCTGAGTAAACAAAATACTTACAGTAGATCTAAAATTTGTATGTCTAATACAAAATCTATGATGTTTATATTCAAAATGATCATCAAATTGTAAGAATTCCAGCAATGGAAATAATATTCTGGTCTGGTAATTTGTATGAATTTTATGAGCTAAAACAAATATCTTCAATAAATAAACAAAATATACTTACCCAAATACTATCTGTCAATCAAAATACCCCACCTCCTCCCCCTCTTCCCACCTGCTCCCTGGGTCCCTCCCTCCCTCCCTACCCCTCACCCCCACCTTCCTTCCCTACCAGAGAAATGATTGGGTTATAACAGTATATTTACATTTTTAGTAATAAATAATACCTCAGACTAAAGTTAGGAAAATATAATTGACATTGCTGGATTCCTTGCAAGACCAGGAATATTTTGAATATACACATCATATATTTTGCACAAACGATAACATATTTGCTCTGAGTAAACAAAATACTTGCATTAGATCTAAAATTTGTATGTCTAATGCAAAATCTATGATGCTTATATTCAAAATGATCATCAAATTGTAAGAATTCCAGCAATGTAAATTATATTCTGGCCGGGTAATTTGTATGAATTTTATGAGTTAAATAAAAAAATTATACTTCACCCGCATATATGAGTAGAGAGTAGCTGCACAGCGTAAAGTGGGAATTCCGGTTCTGGCAGGGTACCGCAGAAACGTAGAAACGCGTAAAGTGAAAGTGAAACCGTAAACCGAGGGTTCACTGTATATTTAGTGGGTATAAATGGTCGTAAAATGGGAAACTTGGGGTTGGGTCTTGGGTGCCTGAAACCACTTAGAATAAATCCCATAGGTTCTGCACTTTCGTTATAGGGGGGGTCCCAATTAGGCGCGATAACCAAGGGATGACTGTACTGTACAGTGAACCCTCACTTTATGCGATTAATTCAACCCACGGCGACCCGCGTAAAGTGAGAAACGAGTAAAGTGAACAACATAACATATGGGATTAATTGAAATAGAGACCGGGCCGACCCTCCAAACTCCACTTTTTCAGACACAATACCTACGTTGTAGTAAAAATAACTTCTTAATTTTATGATGGTATGCACACATAATTAATAATTAAGAGAAATATCAATAATATTAGGTTTTTAACACTTACATTAGTAGAAAAGATGGCTGGGCACACGGGGATGGGGGGTTGGTTCCGAGGCAGAGGGCAGATTATTGGCCCTCACCTGTATCACTTGTATCAATTGTATCACTATTCACCACAGAGGGTTGCAGGGCCTCTTTGTCAAACCCCTCAAAGTCCATATAAGTCCATATCCTCACTATCATTATCACTATCACTGACTTGGGCCGGCTGTGGTGGGTGGCGGGTGAAGAACTCGGTAATGCTTTGATGACTGGGCAACCTTGTGCGCACCCTGCTCGCGCCGCTCTCTGCGTAAAAGGGTACACGCACCGCGGAAAGTGAGCATTCCGGTTTCGGCAGGGTACCGCGTAAACGTGGAAACGCGTAATGCGGGACCGCGTAAAGCGAGGGTTCACTGTACTGTATATACTTGTGACACTGGCCAGTTGCTTCTGGTGTTATGGTACAGGGGTACCAAGTGACAGCACTAGGATCCCGCTTCCTCTATCAAGGAATAAACAATTAAAATTTAAATTGAAAAAAAAAAAACATTCAAATAATGGGACATAGCGAACCTAAATGGCCCTAGAGCGGGCACATATGCATCGCGTATTCTTATAGATTGTGCTGCCAGGCGTATGTTATCTAGTGAATTTAGTCAATATTGTACAGTAACAATGGACCTAAGTGCAAACCTGTATTGAACATGTACTAAATGATTACGGTACTAAAATTGTTATGTCTATTGCAAATATGGCTTGTTTATACAGGTAGTCAAATAAATTACTATCTTACATGAATCCCTCCAATGTAAGTTATATTCACCCAGGTCGTTTGGGTGGAAAATTATGAGAAGAGCTTAGTCACTCTTAAGTAATGATAAATAAACACGCAGGCCTTCAGCGACAACTGTCAAATCATATCTCATATAAATAAACAAACAAACGCCAGACATTGTCACCTCACCTCCTGCCCTAGCCTCTTCCCACCCTCCTTGTGTTCCCAGACAAAAGATTGGTGATTCCTTTATGTTTATTTTATATAATATCTCAGACTAAAGTTAGATAGTATAATTTGCATTGCTGAAATCCTTGCAAGACAGAGATTAATTTGAATATAAGCATCATATATTTTGCTCAAGATATAAAAAATGTAGTACATTAGTGTACAATACTGTAGTTTATTATAAAAGTTTTTCAATGTATTTTTGGGTAGATTTACATAAATTTCTTCATTTATTTTCATCC